TGTAACTAATTAATATTTAATTGATCTTCATTTAATTGCTATTTTTTCCCCCTTTTTTTCCTATTAAGAGTAACCAATCTGGACATCTGTAGCCTTGCAATGAATTTGTCAACTAAGCTAAGCTACACCATTTTCAGCTGTAAAAACATGTTGTCAAGCATTGGAACAGGCTGCCCAGGGAACTGGTTGAATCACCATCTCTGGAGGTATTTAAAAGACATATAGATGATGCACTTAGGGACATGGTTTAGTGGTGGACTTTGTAGTGCTGGATTAAGAGTTGGACTGTGCTCTTTGAGGTCATTTCCAATATAATGATTCTATGATTCTATGTTTCATTTTTCCTTTCTGCATGCATTTACATGAGGTGTTCAGATTTAATCCAAACAAGAGTGATCTAGCAGAAAGATATGCCACAGCTGATTCTTCTTATTTTGATAAAGATATTTAATGCCATTTGCAAAACTGCCATTTAAAGTAGTTTTCTTTAGAAGGTTGCATGAAGAGTAACAGGAGAGAAATCAAGAAGATTCAAATACAACTTTTAATTTGCTCGTTCTAAATTCTTTGTAGATTAGTTTCACTGTGAGACTTAACTATCTCATGATGATGAAAAAGAGATGAGTGCTTAAATGGTGCTATAAGACATTCACAAAATGCTGCTTTGTCTGGTAGGCTCTTAAACTCCTTTGTAAGTTCTGCATCAGCATACACACACACAGAGTAAAATCCTATCAAACTCCTTAGCACCTGTTTTACAAATAGTGTCTGTCAAAATTGGGTATCTATTCAAAACCATTTCCACTTGTAGGGCTTAATATGCTGATGTCCATCACCTAGGGCTCAGGCAAGAAGGAAGTGACCATCCTCCTTTCTTCATCCACTATATCAGACATTCACCTAGATTATGGGAAGGGCAGCTCTGGAAGACCTGTAAAAGATTTGATATCACATCCTTGCTTTACAGTAAGTCACTTGATTGGTGGGCCTTAAACTGTTCAGAGATGAGGGCTCTCATTTTGGTTGTGCTCCTCAACATTGGGCTCCTTTTTGTTATGATAAGGTGAGTAAAAGCCCAGCAACTCACTGCCATAATTTGCAGAGAAAAGTTAGGATCCTAAGAGGTTCTTCACATAGGGCAATTTATCATGCTTCTAAACAGCCACAGAATGGGGATTTTCAGCTTACATGAGTTCACCCATCTCATCTTGCACAGCCTGTGATTTTGCTCCAAGGACATGCAGGGTTAGTGCATTCCGAATAGGAATGTAAATTATGTTTACCTTTTTTGTGCAAGGTTGCACCAGACCAGCTTTCAGAACAGCAAGTCTTCCTGACTTTATTCAATTCATGGGGAGTAACTGCAATTTGAAGTTTTACTGCTAGTCTGGACATGTTTATGTTAAAAGGAAGTGTGATGGTTACTGAGTTTGCATAGTTGTAATAAGGATAGGAAACCCATGCTAACCGAGTGTTATGATCTGCCCTACCAGGCAGGAGTAACTTTTGTTTTATTATTAAATCCCTTGGAGTGATTTAAAGTAAAACAATACTAGATGATCAGTGTTTGCAGATATATACATATATAGGATTTATTTTAAAACAATTTGGTTGCAAAGGAAGACAGGTATGTAGCTGTTTTGATTGTTATTATCTAAAGTAACATGGCAATATAAAGAATAAGGGTATTGCAGAGTAAAACAGATATTTAACCATTTTGGTTGTAATATAGCCACCGAAAAAAATGTGTAAGGAAAAAGAGAGAAAAAGAGAGAGAGAAAAGAATAAAGATTCATAGTCACCAGGTAGAAGTCTTCAATGAATTTGGTGGTTGTTGTCCCTGGTGTCTTGGTCCATTGGGGAGTGGTGGGGGAGAGAAGCCTCACCAAACATTTGATGGGTTTATATATCTTCAGAAAGACCCCTGGTGCCATCCTATGGAGAGGGGGGGGAAACCACTTTTGCAGAGTCTGGAAGCTCTGGTTTTTGCAGTCATTTAGGTTTGGGGAGGGGGTGCTAAGAGGTCTTCTCCAGGGTAGTCGTGGGTGTGCACGCAGGGGCCTCCTTTGACACAGCTTGGCCCACAGGAGATAAACATCACACACCCATAGAGTGCCACTGATCTTCTTTAGATAAACATCCCACATGCCTAAAAAGCATCACACACCCAAGACTTTGCCCCTAGGGCCTCACAAAACTTAACAGCTTGTGGACTATGGCCTCCTCCCTTCAGCGGTATCTTCAATCCCCTGGCAGGTGGCTTGCACAGCTCGCTCCAGTAGCAATGTTTTAAGGCAGTTAAAGAGTCCAGTTCTTCACACTGAAGTCAACAAACATCTTTAAATTGTTCGGATGCTGAGTACTTGCTTCCTAGTAACTGGCATCTTTAGAAAGAACTTCCCACTATTCTGGAACAGAGTTCCTTGCAGTCATAGTCATAAACAGTCTGGAGATTTAGACCTAGCAAATCAAGGGTTTGTTTTTTTAAAAAGGAACCTATTGAAATTCAAAGGGCTGCCTCATAAGAGTTTGGCTTATGACAGCAATATATAAACGTACTAAGAATAATATACAAGTTCATTACAGGCAATTTTTAGCATACAATGGAATGGTCTTGGAAGAACTGAGAAACAAAGTTTTAAATAGATTTGTGCAAAGTGTACTACCTAATACTTGGGGAATTGTGTTTTGGTGGGTCCCAAGCAGTGACAAAGGTCTTATTGGAAAACAAAGAGTTTTTGACTGGTGAATGAGAATTTTCAGTTAGTGACCAGCTATAATATCAAGATTTTTGTTGGGCTCATGTTTTATCAGTTGCAATCATCTAAAGCAGAATGCAGTTCTTTCACTGCAGCCAAATAACTAAAGAAAAAACACTATCAGAGACTATTCTTAATATTGGTGAGGCAAGTTGCTGCAAGAATTACCTTGAATTTTTCTTTCCTAAGAGAAGGGGTTTTTTACTGTACTTTTACTGTATGGCTCTTTTTACATATGTTTTTTAAATATGAAAATAGCCTATCAGATAGAGTGTTTGCAAAAAGCATTTTCTAGAACAGTTTTAAACTGCATTTGCATTGTAGCAAAAGAGGTGTACAGCATTACAGTGAAAGATATGCTAGAAAATACACATATTTGCATTATTTTGGCTTCTTGTTTAATGTTTTTAGTCATATTTTTGCCTCATCTGCAAAGTCTCATCACACAGTATTTTTACTTGTCAGGAGATTTCTGTCTTATAGGTTTTCTTCCAAAAAGGTGAGATTGTCATTTAGATGTTGTTCTTGAATTTGTTCGGGTTTTCTTTGATGTACCCAGTTCCTGTATTCTTGAATTCTAATTTCTTGTAAAGTTATTTAGGTTTTCATGAAATTTCAATAAAAGTCAACCTTATGTGGGACACAAGCCATTTTTGAATAGGAATATGAGTGTTGTGAATTCTCATACTGCTTTAATGTCACTTGCTTTGTCCCTGCAGGTTTTAACATATTTGCTTCATGGAGAGAAAGCAAATAAAAACTTGTCTTGCAGTGTCAGCTAAAAGTACTTCTTTTGTTCTATATCTTGCTGTCTTTGTATTCAGATAAGCGTTATTAGTTCAGAGACATTTAGTTTATGTGGATTAATAAAATTCAGGAAAGGAACTTACAAATGAATCTTGAAAGCAAGTCAGAGTATGAATCAGACTTACTTAGATGCAGAGAATGTTCTGAAAAGAAACATTACCTTATGTTGATAATAATCAGATGTATGTTGTCCTCCAGCTTATTACAAAGTGAATCTCAGCATTTTGCAGTTAGTGTTCTGTAAAAAGAATATTATAAAACTTGATTATCTTGTTTTTACAAACAAAGCAATAAGAACACCCTAGTGAGATTTTGCTTTGTTGGCGGGATAAAAGGTTATTGGGCAGCTGTGGCAATACCAAATAGACTAAGCCTGTGTTCCACTACAACACGTGCATATAAATTTGTGTGGATTGGGTTGCAGGAGGAATTTTAAAAACAAACAAAAATACAGAAAAAGTTGCCCCCAGCCTATTTAGACTCCTTGATGGTAAATAACAATAAAATATATCTTTTCAGTCTATCCAGAATTTTTCCTTACAATTATATTTGTTTTATTTTATAATTTGAGTCAGGTAATTTAATTAATTATAATTTGAATAAATTCTTATGCAATAAAATAAGTAATTCTGTTTCCTTTGAAATGCCAACAAAAATAAACTTTGTGGAACACAGGCCAGAGCTGGGTTTCATGGAACCTAAATAACCATAGAATGAGCACAGAAAGCCAAAAGTTGTCACCACAAGGTGTTTTGCTTCAGGTCAGCTCCCCTTCAGGGTTATGTGCTATGCCTTTGCACAGACTTACTAGCACAGTGACACAGCAGAGTTTCCAGTCCAGGAGTTGTGCAAAACCAGCTGTGAGATGGGGCAGGTCCCCCAACATGCACATGTAAGACCTGACCCTAAAATTTAGGTAGGAATTGCTAGGTGACAGAGAAGTATGATGACAGATTAAAATTCAGATGCCTTTCAAATGCAAAGTGAGATACTTCAGAAGGAATAATTTGAACCATTCTTGCATGCTAGCAGGTCCTGAACTAACAGGGAAAAAAACCAGGTACCAATGTGAGCAGCTGAAAGAAAATTTCTGTTCAACATCCATCATTAGTCAAAAACCAATGTGAAGAATATGCGTGAAGAATATGAAGGAAAATATGACGTTCAACAGATGTAAGACTGTATCATACGGTGTCAGCAGGAAAGCAGAGTACTTTGTATTACTACTCTGTAGTGTTTGCTCAATAATGTAATAAAGATAGCATATGTTTACTAGTACTTTTCCATGTTTTAAGACTGAGAAATTAGACCAGCTAAACTTAAAAGTTGTGTGGAATACTGATTTTTTGTTTTGCTTTGTTTAGTTCTCACTGTTAGGCATATCATTCACTCAAAGCACGAAGAAATTAATGTTTGGTTTTTTCTGCTGCACAGAACCTGAAGCGTGTGGCAGAGACATGGATGGATGAGTTTGCAGAGTACATTTACCAGCGACGGCCTGAGTACAGACATCTCTCAACTGGTGATATCTCTGCCCAGAAGGAGCTGCGCAAGCACCTGAAGTGTAAAGATTTCAAGTGGTTCATGGCTGCAGTGGCTTGGGATGTCCCAAAATATTACCCGCCTGTGGAACCTCCACCTGCTGCCTGGGGGGAGGTGAGGAATATACGAATTAGATCAAATTTAAATGAGTCTAATATTTTAGATTGTGGGAAATGAAAATTATTACTTCAGACTTAACCCAGTGATCAGAAGTGTTATTATAGGAGTTCACAGTGGTTGGAACAATCCCTGAACTATCCATTAAAATGAAAAACTCTCATGTCTTAGAACTATCACTGTCCCCTTTATAATTCATTACAATTTTGTGTCTACAGAGCATAAGATGTATGTACAATGAGGACAAGAATGAGGAAAAGAGTATGTAGCACTCATTATTGCATGTCAGAGGAAGATTTTAGGTTCAGAGAATCACCTTAGTAGAAAGCAGATCCGAAGTCAATGCTTGTGTTTTTTTGCATATCTATCTGTATACTTCATCCTTACAAGGACAATTCTATGCCTGTGGAGTTAGGTTTGCTCTGTTTTGCTCACATGTGCAAGTGTGACAAGTGAGGCCTGAATACTTTCCTTTTAAAAAGACTGATTTTGCTTAGCTGTTGTCTGCATTCTGTAGGTGCTGTCATGACTGAGTACCAGTAGCAGACAAATGCAGTTTCTCCTTTGATGGATGAAGGGAGGGAGAGACCACTAAAGAGAGGCCAATATTTGAGCATCGCTCCAGAGCAGGGGGTGACCAAACAGCTGGCTGGAACTCTCCACCTGTGATCAAAGATATTCTGCATTCAGACCTCTCTGAAGAGCAGAGCTGTAGCACACCTTGCTTTGACAGTTTGTTTTGTGCAGACGAAATGAGAACACAAAGAATGCAGGGACAGGAAATTACTTCCTTAGCTTCATTGAAAAATTGCTGTGGCCTTTACCCCCAGGAACTACAGTGGCTTCACGCTATGGGAAGGTGGCATGCAGAGGGCTCTTTCCTCTCAGATCATTAAGATCTATAAAGAAGGCTTTGCTCTTTCAGTGTATTGTGCTACCTTTTTAAAAACCGTAGTAATATCTGTACTGCAAGTTCTAGCCTTCTCTGATTTTGCAGGAGATGTTCTTAGGGCTCTCAGACAATTATCTTTCATATTGTAAACCAAAGGATGAAGTTGAAGTTTTGACTAAAACATTTGGTAAGACCAGACACACCCCTGCATATTCCCAGTGGTTAAGACTGGACCACAGACTCCTAAATGCCTCTACTATTCTCCATAACTTCCTTTTAAAAAAGCGAATTACCACATAGTGAGATTTTTAAAATAACTTTCTGTGGTAGTAACAGTCCTTAATTTTTCTTTGTAGGCTATCAGTTACAGATGTTCAAAAGAACTTCAATTTATATGTGTCTTAACTGTTTGCTACTTCTTGGCAGTAATGAATTCCTTTGTTGTTAAAGTCTCTTCTATCTTTGATGCTGCTGTCCACACTTTGTGAGTTTAATGTGTACCAGAAAGTAAGGAGTTTATCAGTAGAAGTCAGGCTGGATCAGCTTGCTGTGACTGCTACCGTGATCTTCCTTTACCATGTGTCCTTGGAGGACCGTCATCATGAAATGTGTAACTTCTATGGCCAACTGGACAATCCTTAACTCAATCAAGACAGTCTAAGAGGAGGAAATTGTGATTCAGATATTCATTCTTTTCACAGCAATATTAATATAATCTTTGCATAAAAATAAGTATTTTTAAAAGTAAATCAAAGTTCATAGCAGTGATATCAAATCTGTACTTTAAAAGCGCTTATTAAGTTCTTAGGAAGGATGTGAAGACCAAAGACTCTTTTTCCTCTAAAATGTGCTTTCTCTAAAACAACAATAAGACAAGTTTCAGCCCTACTGCTCTGTTTTCTCCTGAGACTGTCGCATTCCTGTGCAGTTTTAATTAATTTGTTGGCACTTGCAAAGAACTTGGAAAAACTTGAAGGTTAATGGCTGTCAGAAGCTGAAAGAGGGAAACAGACTGTAATGTTACTGCTTTGTAAGAGTCAAGCAGCTCTAGAAAACTTGCTGATTATACACACCAAAGTCTGTGCCAAGACTGACTGTCATTTAGTACCCTCTCTGCTTTCATTTGGAAATATGTTATATCTGCCAGTCTGAGAAAGGGTAAACAATGAGGTACTAAGGCAATTTTGGCTCCAGTATTTTGATGTTTAGCTAGTAAAAGCTTGTGGTGGGAAAGCAGACGTCTCATAGGCAGCCTCTGCTCCAGTCCTCTTTTTTTGCAAACACATTTGTTTAAAATCTGACTCATACATTTCTTGACAAAATCTGTTTATGATGGAAAAGAAGGACATTTGGAAAACAAAAAGCAATCTTTCTTGCTACTCTTGTCATGGCCTTATCTCTTCTGTGTGTTTGTGCCTTTTGTCCTTTGTAGCTGGCAGGGTGTAGGTTCCCTTGATACTCTGCTCTGCCTTGTAACATCTGAGATATGTGCAGTAAAGCAATGTAACAGTGAATCCAGACAGATTAAGGTTAGTGAGACTGTGAGTTCTGTGTTTGAGTGAGGTAATTGTACTCTTTCCCACAGCGGAAAAAAGGACAGTTTTCAATTACGTTTTGTTCTTATCCTTTTGAATATATTGGGAAGTATGCTACCAATTGAAAAACGATAATACCCATCCCATTCTCTTTCTAAGACAGAAAAATTTATTTGTACTGTGTATTTGAAATCCTAATGAAGTTGAAACAATAGGTGAGAATTAAACACCAAGTGTTTTCTTGGGAAGTACTAATGAATGTACAACCTGCGATCCAGCATGAATATATTGTGCAGATATCACAGCTTTCAATGTCTTTAAAAACACATTTCACAGTAAATCAATCATATCATCTCAGAGATTGTCATTTATTTTAGTTTTCATGAGTCCTATAATCAAAGTGATATGAAATTTTTTTTTTGTTTTACTCAGTCAAAAGGGAGTTATTTAAGCTTGGTTTCATTTGCTGTTATGTAAACTTATTATTCAGTGATTTAATGAGGAAGTGTCTCAATCACTGCAGCAGTGCTAAGCTGTAGGACCTGAAGGTACTCCTTTCTCGGTCCCAAGCTCATGGATTTTACAGAACAGTTTTACAACACTGACATGAAAATGTCCCCTATGAAGTTAAGTCAAGTACCACATTTGAAAAAAGATGAAAGCCTAAGAACTCACTAACTTCTCTTTGTATTACTTTCTTTTTTTTAAAGTATGTCATCCTCATGCCCTTAATGAGTCAATCTCAGCCCACCGAGTGTCACACATCTGTTGTACAAAAGCGATATAACCCCACCCTGCGCAGATCAGGTGCTGCACAGCTGGACTCTTCAAATTCTTTCATCAGGATCAGCATCGCACTGAATAAGAGTCCCCTGTTTCTTCAGTGAGGTCTTTGGCAGTGCTTGACTTCCTTTACCTTTGACTTTTCCTTTTTTATGGCTAACACAAAGGATAAATACTCTAAAATTACTATGTAGCAGTTGACAAGAGAGGTGGCTCATTCTTCCATATTTGATCCGTTGATGGCCCTAGGGTTATCTGAGAATGTAAGCAGTGCATTAAAAGTGGCTCCAAGAGCTGCTCGAACAAAAAAAAAGCAACATAAATGAACATTGATAATATCTTCTAAGAACTACAGCCACTTAAGGGATTAAATCCCTTAAATGGAAAGTATTATATAAATTGATACCATCAAGGTGCCTCTCTTGTTACTGTATTAGAGCACCCTAGGGATTGTCCCAACACCATCTCCACACTCATCGTTCACAGATTACCATATTGAACATAGAGTTGTGTTTAGGTTGCTACACTTTCCCACTTTTTGCTTTTGGCACAGACAGTTTCATGTTATGATGAGCATGCGGGGTAGCTTCCAGAACCCCTGGGATTGCCTCTCCCTGTCCAGCTCACCCTCCTTTTCCCCAGGAAGACTGAAATGTATCTGAGCGATAGCCTGGCTCTGATGCAGGCAGAGCCAGGACATCACCTACTACCTCAACAGCAAGTCTTGAAGGAACTCATTTGCCTGTGAACAAAGTTGTAGAGTTTTAGAATTATCAAAGAATATTGGTCAGTATAACTGCCGGGTCCTGGGAAGCTGTGTTCTCTCTGCTTCTACCCCTCATCTGTTCTTTGTAAGGACTACAGTGCCCATGGTCTTAATATCTGTGTCCGAAAGTGAGTTAGGATGCCATTTCAAGAACAAAATATATATAAGGACTTACAGATAGTGTTCTGTGCTTTTTTCAGAATGTGTTTAATTCGGAAACAGCCTTTAATATCACCACTATCTGTCCCAGTTAGTTCATACAGAGTCCTCAAAAGCATGCTTTTCTTGTATGTTTATTTGTGTGTACAAATGATGGCATTAAAGGTTGAGTAAATAAGCTTTGTATGTAGCACCTCAATGCCCTACCTGCATGGCTGATAAAATCTGTCTCCTGTTCATCCCCAGCCTCTACAATTGCACAAATATGAATGTTGGAAATGTAAGTATTAGGATCACTAGCTATTTGTTTGCTAGTTGTAACTCATAACCTCAAAACCCCTCAATCCATTGTGCTGTGTGACTGGAAACAAGGCAGTTTCAATGCATATTGGTGTATACATAAGAAAAAAGCATCTGAGCTTCTGCTTTTCTTCCTTTGTTCGTGGAAACATCTCAGGGCATTTGCAGGCTGTGTGGTGCTGATGCTTGGCAGAATGTTCCCTGTGGCTCTGGCTCTGACTTGATCGCTCCGTTCAGTTTCTAGCAACTGCCAAGGCCACACAGAAGCACCAGAGAACAAAAGCACAGACTTGACTGAAATGCCTGTATTACAAAAAGAAAACAAAAAACAAACAGCGACCCCTCTGCAGCTGAAAGGATGAAACATAAAAAGGATGAGCTAACACGTAAGCTGCAACAAACCAGAGGAAAAACTAACTCAAGCAAACCTTTCAGGAGCAGAGGGAAGAGGAGAGGAAATAAAGAACGTGAGATGGATTCCAGCAGTGAAGGAACTAAATGTAGCTTCAACTCAAGCCTTTTCCAGAAATGGACTGAACACATTTCCTGCACAGTCCAAATGACTGAGAATGGGATGGAGTTATGCCATCAAGACAAAATTATGAAAGCCCTTTAATCCAATAAGTGTTCATTAGACATGGAGTGTATTCACCGTCATTTTAAATTCTAAATCACATAAATATACCCCAATTACTAATGGCAATTGTTAGTAGCTCCATTTTAATTTACTTGCTTGCTCTAAGAATAGACCTGATGTATCATTTTATTTTCTGTTAGACCAGAGATCTTTGTCTGTACAATGGAAATTTAAGTGCATTGAGAAATGATTGAACATTCTCAAAAAAAAATTTTACTTGGAGTAGGTATTTCACATGAAGCCTTAAAAATATTATATTAAAATCTATGCCACTCATTATTCATTCCTGCCTCTTTTTCTGGGTGATATGAAAAAGAAGGCAGGGTTGTTGAGAACTAATTACCTTTCATCTTTTTTACTGTGGGGCTTCTCAGTGCCTGGTTTCTGGATCTGGTTGTATGTATGAACTGCTAGTGTTTTACCTCATCTTTAGCAATTTTTATTGTATTAAAAAAAAGAAAAAATATCCTAGAACTGGGTTTGTCCAAGTTTTAGAAGAATGCTTCTCTGAGCTCTGATGAAGGATCAAAGGTCCTTGTAGTTGCTCAAACTGATGCTCCTCCATCTTTCCCCGATCTGCTCTTTTCTAGGCTAAGCAAATGCAGCTTTTAAAACCTTTTCTGAAGGTGACAGTTTTTACATTTTTTCCACTACTTGTTGATTTCCCATCTGTCTAAATCTTTCTTGACCATGGTGAATAGACTCTATCCCACTCCTCCAGAGTCAGAAAAAGAGCAGAGTAGCTCTGGCCTGTGTCTTGTATGCATGAGGATTTCTCCTCCTTGCAATGTTTTGTGCTATGCTGACAAGTTTTCCATCCTTTGGATGTGAATGAGGTATGCAGTGACAATATTTACATTTGTCTAGCATATTATGGCAACAATAGTGACTTTAAAGTATTTTTCATGAAAAAAACACAAATGCCAGCTCAAGTGTATCTCCATTCAGCATCTAGCTTTTTTTAAAGTAAGAATCAGAGTAGCGTCCAGAATGTCAAAATATGCACCTGCTTTCTATATATTATATTTATGAAATTTGTGCGTGTGTCCATGCTTGTACGTGCACTTTGATTACTCAATTTCTGTTTATCTCATTGACAGGGTAAGTTTTTTTAAGAAATCCTTTTCATTATGGAGGTGTGTAAAGGATTTTGAACTAGACCGACTAAGGTACTTAGGGAGAAATGTGCATGAATTTGCAAAATAAATCAAGGATTCTGCTCTTTTTGGTGGGCAACCTACTCCTTTTCAAACCAGTGTTTCAAAGAAAATATACATGGCAGCAGTGGCACATAACTGGTATGATTGATGGTCACAGATTAATTATTACTCAGTTGCTTCAGTCTAAATAATGGGATTTTCCTTTTAAGAGTAAGTTACACTGCAGTGTTTGCAGCAGGCATGCAGAAGGAACCTCCATGGGTGAGCATAAGTTCCAGTACAGATTTGTTAAGTACTTTTTAATTTTATGCACTTCAGGCACTAATGTGTGACCTTATCTGCAATGGTGTTATTGCGTCAAAGTAAGAGCAAGCATTGGAACAGGGTGTGCCTGAGTCTTTAATGCATATTGCTCCAAAGCCTGGGAGAGACTCATACAGAAATCATTTCCTTCTGCAGTTGATCTCTCTTGCTCTTGTAGGATGGAAGAAGCAGTCAGACCAAGCTTTGAACTACTCAGACTTTTTCTCTCTTAATTTCTTTGCATGAAAACATTTCTTAAGACCTACCTTTCATTTGTTAAGCAGCATATTTCAAACTTGGCTGCTTCTGAAGCTGCTTCTAAAAAGAGTAGTTCATTCCAGAACATGGCTCTCTATCCTGTAAAAATAACTCCTACCAGTTTTACGTAACTAATAGTGAGTCTCAAGCCCTTCAGAGTTAAACTCCTAACCCCCTAATGTTGAAAGCTCTATTCTGCAGCCCCGTATAATGTGAAATGTTGCTGCTTGGTTTTGCAGATTCGAAATGTGGCAGCCAACCTCTGTGTGGACAGTAAACATGGAGCCACAGGGACTGAGCTGAGGCTAGACATCTGTGTGAAGGATGGCTCAGAACGAACGTGGTCACATGAGCAGGTATTTTAACAGCAGAAAATCAGGGTAAAATTGTTGCTTCCTTTTTTCAGTTTTTAAACATTTCTCTGAGGGCTTCTCCCTTTCCTAAGGCAAAACAGAGTGTAGAAATAATTTGTGCATTGTTACTGACCCTAATGGCTTTAATGGCTTTTACAAAGTACTCCTTAACATAACCTCAGAAATTCCAGCTGCCACCTGACCTGTATATTAGTCTTCATTTCCAAAAGGAATTACAATGCCCAAAGAGCTTTTTGATGCCCCATTCTCCCCCATTGTGTCATGAAAACATGTAGATTTTGGTTCAGTTACCTGAAAATATTTTAAATATAGTACCTGGGCTTGTAAAGCTCTAGTTTTTGTCTGCTTTTATGCTTTCATCTCAATAAGCTCAATAAGGGGTTCTATTTTAAATAAATATGAAGTATAAGCGAGGTAAATGGGGAAAAGCAAGGGGAAAAGCATTTCAGAAAGACAAGGAATTATAAAGACTCAAAAAACTTTTATCTAGGTTGGTTAGGTAGAAAAATATTAGCTTTCACAAATACAGAGGGAAAGAGCTCTGATTTGTACTCACTGTGAGTGCCATAGGAAATGACCCACAGGCTGTGGGTCTGGTCAATGTGAGCAAAGACAATCTAGATGGAAAGTACAACCTAACCGTTTATTAGCAATTTTAGTGAGTGTGCCTTTCACAGCGAAAGGTCCCATATTAGAAAAAAATTTCCAATGCTGAAGAGAAAAATTGACCTGGCAGTCATACACGGCACTTTGTAAAAACTTAAAAGCTCAGGAGAGAGGAGTTCTGAGGGGTATTTGAAGTGCTGAGGTCAAGAAACCATTCTCTGAGGGTACTGAGAAATGCAGGGGGAGAGGTGCATGAAATAAACCTGAAGGATTATTGCAATTTAGGTAAGTGCCAACATGGCAAAAAAGGAAGTTGCTGAAAGAAGACTTCTTCAGATAGCTACCAAAGATACTGCACAGGGATAGAATGCTAAGACTAGATAAATATAATCTTGTTTTGCTTACGAAAGACATCCAGTAATTCAAGCAGTTAATTGAAGGAAGTTGTATGGTCCAGACTAGACCATCGCAGTGTTCTCTGGCTTTAAAATCTGCAAACATTAGAAGCTCCAAACCCTCTTCAGGAGGGGAGGGAGGGAGTCCTGAGGCTGCCAGGGATGAGAAAGGAGGGAAGAAAATTGGATGAAGGGGTGAGAAAAGGAAAAAAGTTAGCAGAGAAAAGGGAGACTTGAAATATCCTTTGAAAGAGTAAGAGCTTGGGTGAAGGGGAAGGGACACAAAGGGAGAAGGATGCTAAGGAGGAATCTGTGTTACAGCATACTCCAGTGCATTGAAACGTTTGGGATCAGACTGGATATGAAGGTCTCATTCTATATTAAGGACGAAAAGTGACCTCATCAGAATCAATAAGACGAAGCTAACACGAAGGGAATTCAACCAGCCAGCTCCTCAGATTCCAGAACCAGAGGCAAGAAGCCTCAAGCCCTTCGGTGCTCGACTTGTGCCCCAGGGACAGCACAACTCGTTTCTAACGGGCTGATGGGGGACAGCGCATCCCCTCGCACTGCCGCAGAGTGTGGAAAGGACTGCCCGGGAGCGCTGCTCCCATGCGGTGGTGCAGTGTCCCAGGGGGAGGTGTGCTGAGCCCCAGCCCAGCCGTGCCGGACGGTTCGGTGCCGATTCCCGGCCCGGCCGTGCCGTCCCGTTCGGTGCGCGGGGGGGTGGCGGGCGCGCTGCGCGGGCGGCCGGCAGGGGGCAGCACTGGCCAGCGCAAGGCGCGTCCCCCCGGCCGCTCACGGGCCCAGCGACGGGTGCGCGTCCCACACCCAAAGCCATCCTTTCGCTTTTGATTCCTCTCGTTTGCTGCGGGGAGGGACGGTGTTGTGTCAAAATCTGTGTTTGTGCAGGTGACAGTTGTTATAAGTGAAAAAATTCCCTCAAAAGTGTGGTTTAGATTGGTACATTTTGGTGGACGTTTCTTGACTGGTTCTTCATACTCAATCCCAATTCCCATCCTGTTAGCAGTGATGTAAGACCATGGTCTAATGAAACATCCCCTGAGGAGAAGGAATGTGATCTTCCACTTGCATCACAACAAGCTGTGAAGATTATCTTTGTTAGAGAGTGGGGATAGCTGCCAAACACCTGACCAACCTGAGAGATCTTCTCTTTCATCCTTCTGGAGTTTGTTGCCTACATGAGTTCTGCATATGCATGTAGAAACTAACAGTATTAATGAAAATATCAAGTATTTTATTATCATATTTCAAATAGCATGAATTGACACTGAACTGGACTTGTAACTTCTGGTATAAATTTCCAGGGAATTCAGTGGCAAACTCTAGTAGCTTGATGTGACCAGTGCAGCAGGCATCAGTGCTGCTGCTGACAGAGATGATCCTTTGTGCCACTCGGTTCGTGTCATGTTACCAGGGTAGGAATTAAAAGCTGACAGTCTCAGACACTGTTCTGGGGGGCACAGCCATTTAGCAGACCCAAGGAGAGGAAGACAACCTTCCACCCCAGGGCTGTACAAACAGGCCGGCCAAACAGCAGTCAAAAGGTTTGTGGAGCACTTGCAGGCTTTCTGGTGAACATGAGATAGGTGGGAAGCGAGGGTGAATGTCACTGTGGTTCCTAGAAACTTCCCCAAAATTGAGAACCAGAGGGGAAGAAAAGGGGCAGGAGGATGTCAGGGCACTGTGTTCTTCCACCTCTGTCTTTCCAGAGCTAACTTCTGGCTTCAGGGAAAACTAGGGCTCTGCTGGACTGATAACCAATAGCAAAGGAAAATGACAGGCATCACTGTGTCTTATCAAGTCCCCCAGCCTTGCCAGGGAATAGATGGACAGGCACCATCTCTAACAAGTCAGAGTCCAGTCTGAAACATGATGTTTCATCTTTGCACAGGGTACACGTTGTCCTCTCAAGTCTGATGCCGTAGTCAGAGCACAATGCCAGCTCACAGACCCCGGCCAGACAGCGAGTAATTGAGCAATGTTGTCAGGCTGGAAAGTATTAATGGTATCAAAAGGGCCTTTGTCCTATAGACAGTCCCAAGCCAGTGGCTGTATCAGACAATCATTCTTCAGGCCCTGTGCCAATTATAAGTGAAGCTGGAAAGCAGTATTTTCCCCAGTTACTGCATGACAGGGCTAGGCTACATGAAAAGGCAAAGCATAAGGGCTGAAAGGTTGCTTGATTGCAAATGCAGAGGATAGTGCTGTGTTTTACAGACTGTGATGTGAGAGAAGGCAAAGGAGGAGAATGAGCATCCACTGAGCCAGGACACAGGGTTTCTTGGGTCCAGCAGGGAGCAGTTAACAGCAGCTCCGTGTGTTGCAGGTGAAGAATCAACCTGCTGTTTGTTAATAATGTGCCTGGGAATTTAGGTGCAACCTTGTTTCAAATTAACAAGCAGTCAGAAATGAATGAAGTACAAAAAGAGTACAAAAGGGTTCAGCCATTTATTGTAAAATCTGACACGGTTCCTAACAAAAGAACAACAAAATCCAAAGTGACAAGTGGTGGCAAAGCAGAGCATTATATACTCAGGGCTTCAGCTAATAACATGTAGCATTGTTGCACATTATGCAGTGGAGAGATAATATTTATATTGGCCAGATTCAGTGTTAACTAGAGAAAAATTGCTGTTTAAAGTAGAATAGCTTAGAATTATGAGATTGGAAGGACTGTAAGCCTTTATGTTTTGTCTGTAATTGCAAGGTCTTAATAACAATTAGGTGTATAGAGAAGTATAACTTTTTTTCTGATCATTTTTTTCTCTTCTCTCTCTTAGTCCTAAAACTGAGTTCCTGTCCCTAACAAGGTTGGTTTTATAATAGTATCACTAGGAAGAAGACATACTTGTTTATTTAAAAATAAAACTGTTTTAAAAAACAGAAGGCTAAAGAAGAAGGAAAAAGAATCTGTCCTAGTCTAAACATTGAGATCTAATATTGCACAGATCCTGGTTTTCAGTGGAAGGGAATAAAAACCCCCATTGTGTTACCATGTCTTGACTTGCAAACAGGACATGGCCCTGTAGCCTTCAGAAACCACACAGGAGTGGAAAGAGCAAAGGTACAATCTAGATCAAGATGATCTGATTTAAAGGCTAGCTCGAGCTCTTTCATGTGTACTGATGCATTCAGTGGGTAGTAGTCCTCAAGCCAAGGTCCAGAGAGCAGCAAGAATTGGCCCCTCAGCTCACCAGTCCTGCACAGAATGAGAAATTTGGAAAGCCACTCACTATGAAAGATGAGGATGGTCCTGCAATAGGAACTCTCTCTAACCATTCATCTAGGTATTTGTTATTCATTGCTTTCAGCTCTAGGTATATTACATGTCTGTAAAAAGGTAGAGGATAAGATAAAGAAAATGGCTTCTGTAGTTTTTTAATTAAAGGAAAATTGTCTCAGCCATCTCTTTTTCTAAAGAAACAGCAGCATAGTTTTTTTCTGTGCCAAATCTTAGCTTCTGTCTTTTCTTGTGAAATGATAAGTTATCATTGTAGGGAGTCCTTGATGCTTCCTCAAAGAAATATAAAGAAAAGTGGAAATAGATTTAACCTTTTGAAAAGCAGAAATTGCTTTGAAAATAAAGTTAAGGCTGTCCGCTGCATTTTACTGCAGATGAATGTAAAACGCACTCTGGGAAAAAGAAGACATAAGCAGGACACAGGGGCAGATTAAGAAAACACTCTCTAGGAAACCTATAATACAGAAGAAATAGGGAGTAACAGCAGCTCACAGAGAGAACAAGGGCTTACAATAAGAAACACAACAAAAAAGGAAAATATTCAGATATATGCTTGTATTTTGGGCCTGCAGGCCAAGAGAGACAGTAACACCTCTCAAATGTGGTATTTGGATGATGGTACAGCATTGAAGGTGCAGAATTTTTAGAAGTTGTATCTTTTAGGAAGACCATGGAAAGAAGGTAACTATAGCAATGAAAGGGTTAAAACCTGGGAACTACCACAGAATTATTCAGGATCAGACCCATGTGATATTAAGCTTCAATTTATAGCTGTTTCCATCAGGGAACGTACACATTGCAGGGAGCAGGATGCTAGATGAGGACCAAAGGGACCCTGAGAGGAGGTGCTGGGGGCGGTCTGAGCTCAGTACGGGGAGCTGCTTCTGCGGACAAAAAGCTTGCATGCAGTTCCACATGAACCGTCTCAGCTAAAGAGTTTTTACTAGCAAAGTTTGCTCATTTAAAGAGGGTGTCACTTTCTCAGCGTTACATTTCTTTTTTTTTCCTACGGAAAATCAAAAGTCATGCAGAAAGCCAAAGAATAGCACTCACACAAAAGGAAAAAAAAAAAAAGGAAAGAAAATAAAAGAAAAGAACCTCACAGCTCTTGGTAGAGCTTCTAGGTAGTAATTTACAACCTGAAGCCTCTTTTCTGCAAGAATTGGTCCATGGGAAAGGAAAATTCACTCCACATCTTTAAACTTGATGCTGTCAGACCTGTCACCTTCATCTGATGATTGAAAGACTGCAGTGTCACAGCATCACTTCAGACAGCTGATGTCTAATTGAGAAGGATTCCTCTATTAACTATGACCCTCCATGACTCCTCTCAGGCAGCAAGAAAAGGGATTTTAACAAGCTGCCTGTAGCTCACAGGTTTCACAGTGGAAAGATGAAGATCATTTAACATGTGTTGTTTGGGGGGAAAAAAAGACAGTCAAGAGGTAATAGCAACAGCGTCCTATATAAACAAAAGGAAATTGTTCACTGAACATAGGAAAGATGCTGTGATGGGAAGATATCTCTAGGCACCTTCTTCAGACCCAAATGAGAGCTAAAGGAACATCACTGGCAGAAGCTTTCTGAGTCTTAGGCAGCTGAAGTCCTGGAGTATACGAGTGCTGCTTTAACCGGGGTAACTAAAGGCTTTAATACAGCATATCTCCTCTCCTCTCCACAGTACTGTGTCACCAGAGATTTTTTCCTTCCCTGACATAGGGATTGAGCCTTCCTGGGGTATATTCCACATCACTGCTGATGCACTATAATTGAGGCAGTTGGCATCACTGAATTGTACACAGGCAGGATTTTGTTTAACCAGGATTTTGTTTTCACCAGTGTGAAAAGGAAATCACGCATCAAGCTTTTTGTGTTGTTTTAAATGTTTTTCACTATTAATATATCATTATATTGCCTGTATGTTTTTCTAGCTCTTCACCTTTGGTTGGAGAGAAGACATCCGCCCTGGGGAGCCACTTCACACCAGGAAGTTCTGCTTCGACGCCATTTCGCACAGTAGCCCTGTCACACTGTATGATTGTCATGGAATGAAGGGAAACCAGCACTGGAGCTATAGGAAGGTCAGAGTCACTGTGGGGCATCTCAGAGGCTCAGACTGTCTTGAGTTTAGCACAGGCTTGTGTTTTCCCATCAGAGAAGTTTGTTTTAAAATCCACCCCATCCTATTCCAATTTAATTTTGAGGTAATCTCTCTAGAATATGTTCCTTTTGAACATTCTGCTATTTAGGTCAAATTTAAATGAAAATGGATGTGATCCAGCTCAGAGGGTGTCTGTGTTGGATCTGTTCCCTGAAAGGTGTTTTACCATTCTGGCGCTTCAAGATACTTGTGTCATTTTAACAGAGGCACTGTTGGAAATATTTTCATCCAATGTGACAGCAGCAAGAAATGCTGCTCACGAGTTAAATGTTATTATTTTACTTCATTTTCAAGATTACAAGTGGCAGAAAAATCTCCCTCAAAAAAACACAACAAAAAACTAACAAAAAAAACCCCAATCCAACATTAAAAGCAGAGCTGTAAGCCCAAAGAAGGCAGGAGTTTATAAACTAAAGATAAGCAGCTTAGACACTACTTTGATCTGCTGAGTTTCAGCCCGTTTTTATAAATCACTGGAAACAGGAGGTCAAGCTAGAAACTGTCAGAGCCTCATTTATGGTAAAGTCCTGGTAATGCAATGTTGTTGTTGTTGTTGTTGTTGTTGTTGTTGTTGTTGTTGTTGTTGTTAGGTTTTTTTAATGGTTAATCAGCAAGTTGCCTTGATTAAAGATTTTGCTAATAAGCTCTGTATTCCATTCAGGATAAGGATATACATTTCTGTGAAGCACTGAGGATTCCTCTCACACATGCTTCAGTTTTCTTTGACCATTGTGCCTTGCCCTCCACCTTGCTTAAGCTGAGGGCAAAGTGCCAGGAATTGGTCTTTTCCAGATAAACCTCAATACTGCTTTCTAGTTGAAAGTATATATAGTAGAAAACTGATTCAGAACCATTAAAACAGGTTTGCCCTGACCCTTTTTCTGAGTGCCTACTTATTACAGACACTGTGCCTTTTTACCTTATTTATGTTGCAAGTGGAGATCTACCACAAGATTTTCCAGAAATGTAATCCCTTTGAAACTGAAGTATTACCTGTAAGAAAACTAGAATGTATGTCCCAGATATTTAGAGGAGATAAGCTGTGATGGCTGTATTGCTGTCTCTCTGACATTATAATGCCATAATAATACCTTCTTGCTTCAAAACCCTTCTGATTTATCTTTTTGCCTACCCAAGCTGCAAGAAAGAAGCTTTCATACATTTGACATTTCATTGTTGCTTAATATAGCCAGTCCATAAGACAAAATGTGGGTCTGGAGCTGCCCTCTATAAGGCTCATCACCTTTGATGAGGACAGAATACAGCAGATAACTAAAAAAAATGACATTTGAAAAAAATACATAGTGTGAGTTCTATTAAATTCTCTGTACAGCTTCCTTTCTAATTTATAGAAGGTTGACCGGGCTCATATAAAAATTCTCAATGCAAGACAGGCATTTCCATCTCAGCAAGAAACACTATAAAGTTTTGTTATGGTAGAAGTACTGGCACAGTCTTAACTGTAATACAAACCTTCAGTTTGCATAAACCTTCAAATTAGGAAACTGCATTGGAATAATATGTATACATGGGTTTTTTAGGCTTAGTTTTAGTTTGGCTACACCATAAGTAGTTTTTATTGTTTCCCATGGTCTATTTCCTCAGATACAGGGTAGATTTATTTTAGAGACTTTTGGTAGTATATCTATGCCTCCAAAATCCTGATGATATAATCCTTACCTAGTTTTGAAATCATCTTGGCAATAGGAATACTAAAAACGTACAAGAAGAGGATGTTATATTGTTTAACTGCATCTGTACTAGAGCCCTTTACCTAGAGGATGGTATGCTACTAAATCTGCACCCTAAATAAATAATAGTCTAGTTAAGCAAGAAGTGTCTCCTTTTAAAAAAACAGAGAGAAGGTCAGCAGCTCTCTTTTGTTCTCTGCACCACTTACAGGCACTGAAGCTTCCTAATGGTAATGTACCCATCTTGCCAGTAATTCTCATGCTTTAGGAAAAATGACCCTGCTTGTCAGTGTCTTATGACATGCTTAATGTGAAGCATTTCTTCCCATGTTGCCATAGTACTTCTATAAAACTAGAAAATAAGAGGTTTTTGTTAGTTTAAAGATGAGACTTTTCTCATGATCATTTGCATCCTTGAGCCAATGGTAAGAAGAAGTTAGGGCTGTGAAGTGACGGCACAAAGTGCTGCAAATGTAATTTGAAGTCAGGCACTGTTTTCAGATTCTGTATTCTTATAGCATAAAAACCCTAACAACCTGGGTTTCGATACTGGCGAATAAAAACAGCTTAAATATTTTAGTGGCAAATAGAATACCTTAGTATTTTACTTTGGGTAAGGAGTGGTCTTCTGACAAAAATTTACAGCTTAGGCCCATTACAGGCACTTTGCTTCTCATTGCAGTGCAGTCACAGAGTGTTCAAACTGCATTCTTTTCAGATGAATGAAATCAAAACCACCACTAATAAAGATGTGTCAAAAATCTGTTCGTATTCCCATACTGTTTGAACTGCATCTGAGTAGCTATTTGAAAGTCTAGTAAGTTTGCAATATTAAATAATCAATTTTCTTAGGACTGATCCAAAATACTGGTCTATAGCCAAATATACCTTTAAGAAAAGCCTATAAGAAGAAGAAAGCCAAGTAGCACTGCAAACATTGCTATGGGTTGTAAGTAGAAGAATAGAATTTAATACCAGGAAAAAAAAATATTGACACCATATTGGAGCAGTGTAAGAATTTAGGTAGATAAATGTAAATAACCTGTAATTACTAGTGATTTGGGAGAATGGCTTTAGCTTCCCAAACCTAAAGCCATTTTCTTGAATCTGTTTGAGACTCCTAAGCATGCCAAGCCAATGATCAGCAGTGCCTACAAATTTCTGTTCCTCACAATGAAGGAGTACGCCTCTGGTTTTCAATGTAGCATCATTCTGGGCTGACAGGTAATACATTGGTTCTGATAAAGAATGATTCAATTTATGTGCCGTAGGCCCGCTAGTGCTATTTGTAGAGCACAAGTATCCAAGAGAGGACTGATTTAGTAGGTCTTTAAAAAGGAACAATTGTGCAAAGTCAATTACACCATAATTTTACCATGAGTCTAGTGCTTATGATAGATGCTAAACTGACAATGTCAAAAACTTGCCCAGAAGACAGTGGTTTGCTCATAGTCTCCTGACAGCTTCAGGGACAAACTGTAAGAATAAGTTCACTCTTCACACAGTAGGTGCTTAGATTATTTCCTCAGACAGCCGAAGACATGTCATTGTGATAGTAGCTTTTATAATATGGGCATCTGTCCTGCTGAAACTGCACTGGGGCTACCAACTAATTTCAGATAAACTACTGCAGCCACCAGCTGATAATGACTTCCAGTTGCTCTTGAGATTGGCTATAGTTATAGCAGTGACCTAGAAGAAATGAAAGGCTCTGTGTCTCATTACCAACCCCCTGAACTGTCAAGACCCATTATCTTATGGAGGAGTTCCTCCTTCTGCAAATAATCTTTGGGCTTGCCATCATGCAGAAGGAAAAAAAAAAATCCCTCTGCTGTTTTCAGATGTCAGCAATGTCTCCAAAATAGCGTTTGTGGTTTCTCAATATTGGTGTAAAGAGGAATTTATGTATTTCTCTTGTAATGTTCTTTGCTAGGGTCCATGCAACTGTGACTCCTTAAAGTCTTGAGCCTGTTTCTGTAAGAGCAGTAGGCTTTGACCTCAGGTCAGCATAAGCTTGAGATTATAAATTAATAGGCCTTTATATATAGCTAAGTCAGCCAGAAGTTTTTCCAGAGTGGTAACTCTGTCTCTATTCTTAAAAGACACTCTTCTCTCCTAATAACCAGACTCTGAAAGAAAGCACCAACAATGCTTCACTCAAAAATTGCATCTCTGGGATATTTCTGTGAGAAGAAAAACTGTCAGCCTTTCTGACTCCAGGAAAGGCTGGAGTGTTTTTCATAGCAAACTTTTTGTGCTGAAGCTGTTTTCTTTCTTCTTGTACCAGCTATCTTATTAAAGCTTCTAGTATTCCAACTTTGGCCTCCTAATAGCTTGGCTGACCTTCATGCTCAGCTATAATGCAAGGAAAACCAGATGCCCCCTTCCTCCAAGGCCCCACATCAGGCCGGGTGGCCATGGCACAGTCACTGTGTCCTGATTTTGGGCAGTGCCACTCCATCAATCTCTTTTTAGAAGACAGGAGGATCTGGCAAGGTGCAGATGGGTGCCTGCACCACCCCATAGGGTGCTTGGGAGTTCCTGCAGGCCCACCTCCTAGTAGGGACACAATAGTCCTCGGTACACGTTACAGTTACCCCCTTCTTGCAAGCTGAAGTATCCTCCCTGCTCGCTTTGTAGAGTATGAGGGAAAGTCCTGTCAGCTGTGATGATATCCCTCTGAATTGCAGTGTTGGGTGTGGGTGTGTGAGTCTGTGTGTTCAACCACTGTTTTTGGGGAAGGGCAGATGCTGGAAGGAAAAAGTGGTATTTGTGAAAGGCAGATGTAACATCATCACCCACAGCCAGAGAACAAGATGCTTTTGCCTTTGTTCTTTCTTGCATGTATTAATTTTAAAAAGAGGCATTGTACTTTACCAGAGTTTCACAACCCCCAAAATCAATCAATTTCATCTTTCCTAAATTAAAAAAAAAACACTTTCTTTTTCAAAATGGTTTTAAATAGCTGCTATTTCTTTTTGTCTTCATACTTTTTTTTTTTTTGGAATGTGGGGTATTTGTAGTTAAAGAGAAGTTTCCGTGATTGTTGCTCGGCACCCACAGCAGTTGTGTGAGTTTTTAATCAATTTCAATTTGACAAGTAGATCTTTTTTTCCCTTTCGCAAACTGGGCAAGCAGGCACATCCTGGATTAGTATTAAAATACTAATCAGGGCATGTTTGGTGTAGACGGGAAAAGCCTGGATGTGGTTTACCAAGAGTAATCTGAAATTTATTTCAACAGACACAGTATAGTTCCTGGAAACTTTCAAACCGTTTAATCACTCCCACATCTGTCTCTCTCAAAACACTTGCTATATGAACTAAGTATGTTGAAACTACCCAACTCACCCACACCAGCTGTTCAACTGAGTAGTTTCTGCTTTAACAAAGATTCACAGTCAGGTTACTTAATATTAACTCTAGTTTATTAAGTAAAATTAATAAAACTAATCATCATAAATATGCTTTTTAAAGCAACTTAATCCATGCTTACCCTCCCAAAATCTCCATATGGAGCTAAATCAGTATTACGATTTCCATCTTATTAGGAGAGAAAGCGTATTTCAGTGGCTCGTCTTATCAAGGCCAAGTCTGCATTGCGTGGGGTGAGAACTGAGAACATCATTCCTGTGTCCATCTGTCCACCACTTCAGTTAATAATTCATTCTTAGCATCTTCACCAAGTTGAAGATTGTTACAGCTCCTCCTGCCCAGAAACATACAACTGTCAAGAATAAATTAAAAAAAAAAACCCAAAAACATTTCAGACATTTAAATGGGCTCCAGGTAAATACATGATGTGCAAAGATGTTAAAGACATTCTATTTTTTAGTTATATTATGCAGTTGTTAGTAAAAGACCAGATGATGTCTCCTCCTTCTTTCTTGAATCCCCAGTTTTATGAAAGATGATAACCTAAGGGAAGAAAACACTCCATTGTCTACAGCTTCCTAATAATAGCTGTGGTTATTACACAGGGTTAGTGCACAGAGACCACAAAATCATTTCATATGTTAATCCATGTTCTGTAAAATGACAATACTTTCAATGCTTTGGCATTTGCTACCTAATTCTGTTTTTTTTCATTCCTCTAGGACAAAACTTTATTCCATCCAGTAAGCAGCAGCTGCATAGATTGCAACCCAGCTGAGAAGAAGATTTTCATGAACAGATGTGATCCTTTATCTGAAACTCAACAGTGGATTTTTGAACATATTAATATGACTGTTTTAGAAAAATTTAACAGCAAAGCCAGTTCCTAGAAAGAAAAAAGAAAAGAGAAAAAATGAACACACCTATTTACGTACAGACTGCAGACTACGTTTTCGCCAGCATCTGGGTCAAAGGAGTCAGGAATTAAGTTTCCTAGATCCAGGAAATCTGTTCTGAGGATTAAGAAAATGCCACAGCAAGAGCCAGCAGGCTGTCTTTGTGGATGTACAGTATCTGGAGAACTTGGCCAAGAGCCTCACCGGATGCTGCTGAGAACTTCAGGCTGAAAATTCCCTTGCTGGTCAAGGGAAAAACTTTGTTTAAAAACTGTTTAAAAGTACTCCAAGTTAATAAAGTAAAACAAAACTCTAGTTTCTCAGGTCAAATCCTGCTGTAGTGAGTAGCTCAGAACAGGCGCTATAATTTGGAATGGGTATATGATGTGCATGACAGCTACAGGAACCTGAAGAAATCCCAGGTTTTAGAACTAAACATGCTAGTAGAAGAATAATGATGTCCCAGTACTCCCTAAACAAAATATATGCTCTGTTGACATTCTCTTAATAAAAAGTTGGGTTAAGCAGGTTTAACCCTCAGAACTGCTGCAAATAATTTTAAATACCTCCCTTTTACATTCCATTCATTACCAAAATAAGAATGGTAGAAATTTTAGGGTCTAGAATTACACTGTAGTGAAGCATGGAATAAACTGTGAGGTTTTGCTCTCATATTTTCCCCTTCAGAAAAAAAAGTAAAGCAATCAAATCTCTATCCATGATATATTTAGCCATTGTGATTCAAATCCCATTGTCACATAAGGTGAGGGGGTTTTTTTAGTGACAAATATAACAGCAGCAGCTGCAGCATAGTGGAAGGCTCGTGGACTAGCTATCTTTTCTAAAGGTAGAATCCTTACCAATATATAAATTAAATTGAAAATAGGCTGGGAAAAAAATCAGGAGAGTAGGAAATAATTGCATACTGCATGCTGAACTAGATTAGTCAAATTAACACTGGTATGTTGCCATCACCTAAAAGTATGTTGACTCCCTGCAGTGCAGCTTGAAAGATCTTGCAGTGCTCTTGACAGATAGGAATGGAGAGAAAAATTGACATGAAATCAGTTGGGTGGTTTCAGAGTTTTTGAAATCTGTGATGGAAATCATGTGAACTTTGCAGAGTTAGCAAGTAAATGGTATTGTAGATGTCATGAGGGAGGAAACAAGAAGTGCAAACAAGTTAAATGTTACAATATTTTGACACTTTAGGCACAGGCACAATTCACGGTAACACAGACTTCCGTCACCCAGATGATCATTATGGTGTCTCTCAGACTCATCAAGCCATTGGAGTGAGAGGCCTCTAAAACTTCTTTGGGAGGGTGTCTGTGGTTCTCCTCAGTTAATACTGATGTATGGAACATGACTGATAGCTTTGAGATTGTTCAAGGTAAGAGCGAGTATAAATTTATATCAAATATGTGGCCTGCTTTTACTTGAAAGATGAATTCACAGATGAAAGCACCATAAATGCAGATAGATCACATCCTCTGTGCTGTAACTCCTTTCAGGTTCCAAATATAACATTTGTAGTTAAGTTGCTTATTCTGATTGCTGAAGAGGTGGCTGACTAACCAAAACACTGCTGTGCAATCTACACTGTTTTGAGGGAATGGAGTGACTGTTTATTTCTCTTTAAGCTGTGTTTATGCACAAGAGCATTGATTGCATCCAGAGGATGGTTCTAATACCAATAACTGTGCTATTTTATGGCAGCACCTTGTAGTTGCAGGTCATAGGAAATTTTTAGGAGGGAAATGAGATCCTGTAGCATTCAGGATGCATGCACTTGGAAGAGTGTGAAATGCATCCATATATTTAGCAATTGCTGCAAGTTAGTAAAGAAATCTTTCAAATAATTTGAAAGAAAAATATCTACAGAGATAGACTTCTCATTTTATGATTTTAAAATAAGTGAGATTGTTCAAGTATTGTTTAAATTTGATTTGAAGATATGGTGCACTCGGGAACAGAAGCAGTAATGCTATGGTATGCGGATACTTCAGATTTGTTTAGCCATCAGTACACAGAACCAGTCTAGCAATGCAAACTGTCAGCCTTTCCAGGTGCAGTGCTCACAGCAGCATATATTTGCAGCTTGAACATGAGGAAAGACGGTTTGTGAAAAAGAAGAAAATGGCTGCCTCAAATGCAAATGCAGCCCTCAACCTGCTGATTGTAACTGGCCCCAAACTGTCAAAGTCCTGGAAGCAACACTGTATGCCCAAAATAGAGAGGCAAAGGTTGGATTGCTAAACCAGAACAGATTGGTAGGGTTATATCATTCAGTGTCTGACTGCATCTCAGTGGTCTGATTTTGAGATGTCTAATGGGAACTAGGCTGCTGTTGGGGCAAAGAACTTCTGTGACTTTTACAGCCCTCGTTGAGTAATATTGCACAGTGCCTTGCACTGCCAAAGGAAACCTTCCCCTTATTGTAGCTGATCACTACTTGTAAAATCTAGCAGTCCTTGTCAGAAAACATAACTAATATTCAGATGTTCTGGGGAAAGATAATAGTCCTTGCACAGGATTCCTTCAACAAAAGTTTTATTAATAATAAATGATCATCACTACCTCTCAATTAAATTCTGTCTTGGGTGTTCTCCAAAGGTTTCCACTGTAAGAGTATTTCATTACTAATTTATCATTCTGAATTTCCTTGATTCTTTCTACAACCATATCTTTTCCACTCAACAAACTTATGAACAACTTGGTAGGATGGACAGATGTATCTTCTTCTCGTATTTCACTGGGAGAATTTAACTCTAATATGTGTTTCTCCAAAAGACTGAAGTTTCTTCCCAGAATTTTTTTTTTGAATACCAGATAGTTCTGAACATATTTTAAGTGTAGTGCACAGGTGACATTAACTAATGTGGGCTCATCATTTCAGTGGAGTTATACTGATTGCTCCAACTAATGACTTGCTTCAGTTTTTTTCAATTCATTATTTTATGGCCGAGAGGGCTTTAATCAACATACCTTAAAAGAAGATCTTTGTATTGTAAGAGTTCATCAGCACCTTCTCTAAATTTTTTCCAGTTAAAGTTATCTGACCTTTTTTTGTGGCCAGCAAACTACTATGATAGGAGAGAGCAACTGGAAAAGCTGGAATGAACTCCAAGTGCAACTAAAACTCTAAAATCACACATTTCCCTGCATGTATTCCAGAATCGAAACTAAACAGAGGCCTTGAGGAACAGGGCTTAAAGGAGAGAGGAGGAGCTGGGAAACAAAATGTTTCATGCATGGGAGAGCAGCCTTGTTGCAGAGGCATAAGGCATCACTTTTCACTGGCCACAGTCTTATTTCAGAAAAATGAGATTGCTTTAGAACAAATGTTTCTGCAACAGTATGGATATTTTCATGATAATAATGCATTATTCTTGGTTTTTATCTGTTTATGAGTAAATGCTCTGTAGCTGCTGAACTGTCTGCCTCACGATAAAGATAGACTCAAGTTTGAAAGGAAGCTGACAAGCACTTAACAACCTTTGATTACTGGCAATTTATCAGGCATCAATATCTCCATGACCCCAGTGAAATCGGATGCCACAGAAGATCATAGAAAAATAGTATATAAATAGCTTGACCAAATTGATTAGATGGGTTGCGCTTCTGCAAGAGTGGATGTTACCTTTGTTTAGAAAAAAAAAGTCATAATCACAATTTATTTGCATTTTTACTGATAACTTCTGCAAGGGAGTGAGTGAGGGGGACTGTTTTAACCTACCCAGATGGATTGGGGATGGAGCATTTTAGGAAGGCAGCACTGTGAGGCTTTCTCTGTGGCTGACACCAGGGGTGCATACATTTTCTATTTAAAGAGCATCTGTAATGCTGTTAACCTAGCATTTTTTTAAGAGAACGCAGGATGTACATTAAAAAAAATGATAATGATTTTATTTTTCTTTTTAATCCATCAAGGTTGTTCGGGAAATAATTTCAAAACCCTTGAAAACAAAACAGGCTGATCAGAAGTAACTTTTAGTATAGCTGGTATTAGTATTATAATGTTCATTAATTCATTTGTTTAACCCCCTTCCAAATCTGTTTCATATCCTGTTAGAAAGAGCACAAGGGTCCAAGAGTGCTTTTACATAATGTTTTCAGGATCTTGCCCTGTCTGAAAGTTTTGAAAGGCCTTTAAAAAATTAGCAAATATAAACCAAAGGGTAACAAGGAAAAACACTTGGATATTATGTCTAGTCTACCAAAATATTTTGCTAAACTTGTGCAAAAATAATATATTTTAACTGGAAATTTTTAGATTAATAAGTAATATAGTTTAGTAAGTCTTTAGTGTGTAGTGCTTTCTATCAAAGAATTTTAATTTAAAAAAAAAATGAATTTGTGTGGTTAGTTGCTGACAGGGGTTTTTTTAACCACATTTAATACCTCTGTCCTGAGGTCTCCTGTAATCTCATATTTCCTTGTCATAATTCCTAACGCACTGGATTTAAGAAAATGTGAACATAGGAAAAAACCTCAAAAAAGTAAGAAACCTGTGTGAGATGTTGAGAGAAATGCATCACATTTCCAAAGCTTCAGCTGCATTCAGAAAATACATTTGCTTTGTGTGGTGGCTTTCTATTCTTTCAGTGTATCATTAATATTAGTGGTACTACTCCTGAGGCAGGCCTTCTGAAAATGGTGTTGCTAGCATTTGGTACAATAAGTGGACAGCATGGTGCTAGAGAAGAAAATCTAGGAACTGCTCCTGAAAAAATTGCATTCAAACATTGCAATCTGATATGCCTTAAGATCTTAGCTGTTTTTAAGATTCGTTTTATCTTAGTATTTTTTTACAGTACCTGGTAGTGCAGTAGGTGCTTCAGTGGCCCTTATGAAAGCAACGCAGAACGGGAACAAAGAGGACACAGGTGGTTACCTAAAGGTGTGGTTACTGCAGCAATGTCAAGGTTAATTATACACAAAGAGAAGTTTGTTTATTTTGTGTGGCCACTGCAGTAAGTGCCCAGCTTAACAGAACAGATGAATGAGAAGGAGCCTTGCAAAGTGGGCCAGCAGAAAAGCTTGTACTCAATAGAAGATGTAAAAAGAGTCCCAATGGTCCATTTTAGAGAAGCAGGTGAACAGGGTGTTGAGATGGATATTATAGACAGTGTAAGGGATATGAGGGGAGCTGCAAGTGAGGCAAGTCTGGTAAGTAAGGCTACTATCTAAAAGATATTAAGACATAGGAAAGGAAAACTTGGTCCTCATTAACCTTAGCCCTCATTAACCTTGGCAGGATCCCTAACACTTTGTCAAAGTATTAGTTGATTTAATTAAGTTAATCCTTCATCTCTCCCAGTAAATGACTCAACCTGGAAGAAACCACAGTTCAAGCAAATTTCTGTTTACCAGTCCAGAGCATATAATCGGCAAAATATGCCACTAGCAACAGTTTATTCAAAAATCCCAACTGGCACTAGAAATAAAACAATATTATCAGCCTGAGAGATCAGTAGACCTCTGGCATCCCTCTGTGAAAAAAGATTTCACTTGCCTAAAGAACTGATTGATGGTAATGATCCTAGATTAAGAAGATCAGGAATTGTGAGCTTTCAAGGAGGTGAAAGGCCAAATGGTGAGATTAGGACTTGGCAGTTTAATTGAGAGAGGAAGGAGGAAATAGGTGGTAAAAGGGAAGAAGCAGGAATCAGGTTTAATTCTGTATATGAAGGAAGTATGACCTACAAAGGTCAGTCACTGATAATTTTGGATACTTCTTCATAGCAGAGCTTGCATGTTTATTTCCATCACAAATATTCAGTAATTGAGAGGCAATCAAGTCCTCTTGCAAGGACTTAAATTTAGAATAGAAACTGGATAATCTGAAATGTATTGATTGTGAAATACATGATGGCAACTAGAGAAAAGCTTTGCTGGACCCCAGGTTTGTTCTGAGTTTTCCACCAAATGTATGTGTGGACGTTCCTGAGGATATTTTCTGGGTAGTATGTAGAAGCAGAACATTATGGTCACTGTTTTAGCTCAGATTAATATCTCTCTATATCTCAGGCTTTTTTGAAAGAGGAAAAGTGTTTAGCTAAATTTTTCAGGAAATGTCAACTCGGATCAGTGCGAAATAGCTCTGCCTGCTCCCTGTGTGGATCAAGATAACAAGTGTTTCTCTTCAGACATCAAATACAGCTCTCAAAAAAAAAAGAATGGTGTGGCTCTGCCTTCATGGCTCCTTGCAGCATTCACCTCTTTTTATGCAATTCAGTTATTTTATTTATTTTTTTCCTATTTGGTGTTTCTTCCCTTCTGCTGGCTTCCCATCTGCAGGATTCTGCCAGAATGCTGTTTCTCTTTCTTCCCACCTTTCTGGTTTGTGCCAAAAGTGTTTCTGCTGTTGCGGATCCCTTCCTCAAGATAAAAGTGACTAAAACTGCTTTGATCTTGACTTGGCAGAGCCACAAGCCCTTCTGCCTCAGGGTACATGGTTTACAGTGGCTTGTGCTAGCAGTGGGATAGGGAGGAGAAATGCACCTGAGAAGTTCTGTCCTTATGTGCCAGTCTCACTATAGATTTCATTCATGGAAAAGTTATAGCTTATAGCACAGAGAGTCAAACATCCTTGAGGGAGAAAATTGCATTGGTGATCTACTTTCTCACCCATCTTCAATATTCAACACTGTCCAGAGAAGGAAATATGTAAGAACGGGAAGCATCTTAGTTAGTGGATATACTTTGTACTAATGTTTAGAAGCAGCCAAACTTAGTCTGGACATCAGGTTTTCATCTTTTGATTATCCATATTGAGCTAACATAGATACAAGAAACTGAGTAGAATTATATTAAAATGTGGTTTGTGAAAGCCACCAAGGGATTATAATAACTTTAACTGAAGGCATTATTGCAAATCCGAAATGGATGCATAATCTGTGATGAATGTATGATACAGGTTAACTTCTAGTCAAGCTGCAAAGAGCCAGAGGGTTGGTTTTTCTTTTACAAAAACACAAAAAGAGAGAGATTATCCAACATGCAGCAGCTTTTGCTTACAGATGTACAGGGCTCCAGTTTATTCCCCAGCATGTCAGCAAAGTTAATATCTATAATGATTCCCATTATCAAAGCAACATTCGCAGAGATGGCAGTAAAACATCACCTTTTCTTTCCTACTAGACAGGAATCCTTTCATTGGTTTCCTATTTGTTTTTATGCACCTCCAGAGTCATTTATTTGTAACCAGAACATATGGATAGAAATTGTACCGTGTCCCTTCACTAAACACATTCCTAGGAAATCAGAGTACCAGTGTAAAGGCTGTACAAATGCACTTTTAAAAGAATTGTCAGCCAAGGAAGGGGGATTTCATACAAAAGAAAAGTAAGTCCCCCTAAGTGGACATGAGCAATGTGTGGTCGCAATGTGTGCTTGCAGCCCAGAAAGCCAATTGTATCCTGGGCTGCATCAAAAGCTGCGTGGTCAGCCGGTCAAATGAAGCGATTCTCCCCCTCTCCTCCACTCTCGTGAGACCCCACCTGGAGTGCTGCATCCAGCTCTGGGGCCCCCAGCACAGGAAGGACATGGACCTGTTGGAGCGAGTCCAGAGGAGAGCCACCAGGATGATTAGAGGGAAAAAGTACCTCTCCAATGAGGAAAGACTAACACAATTGGGTTTGTGCAGCCTGGAAAAGAGACGGCTAAATTCTGTACTGTGATGCTGGTGAGGCACTGGAACAGGTTGCCCAGAGAAGTTGTGGATGTCCCATCCTTGGAAACATTTAAGGCGAGGTTGGATGGAGTTCTGAGCAACCTGGTCTAGTGAAAGGTGTCCCTGTCCATGGCAGAGGGGTTGGAACTAGATGATCTTTAAGGTCGTTTCCAACCTAAACTGTTCTATGATTCTAAAACTTGTTTCCCTTTATTCCTGTCATATCAGCCTCCCTATTGCAGCTACTGCTCTGCATCAAAACATATAGTGTTAATCTACACCTAGAAGAGTAATGATGCTTCATCAGGACTCTGCTGCCAGTTTTTCATATAAATCTGCACCATAGCTGTATAAACCCATTCTTTGGGGCTTGTTCTCCACAGTTGTTGTCCTGACAAGGGGTACATTCCTTCCAACTTTGGCCTGACCTGCAGTTTTCCACCTCAAACTCTGTTGGCTGAAGTAGCTCGATATTGCCCAGCTCTCCAGGTGATGTGGTTCACGGCACATCTCTCAACACTTCACAGCAGTCCAGTCCACATAAACACACACACACGGTTTACCAAGCGTTAGGTGACAAAATAGAAACATGTGGTCCCTTCTGAGTCTCTAAGATGCTTCTATTTATCAACTAGCCTTTCTGATGGTCAGAGTATTTTCCAGGCATCTTTGTGAATAAACACCCTTTTCTGCAGGTATCCTGCAAAACATCCGTTTCTCTCACTTTTCTGAGAGTCTGGAATTAAAGCCTTCACTTGCTGTTAAACAACATTCAGGACAAAACATTCCCTGGCAATTAAACTATTATATATATGAAGGGCCAAGAAGAGCTGAAGACAACTTTGTGTAATCCCTGTCCAATATCTCAGTAGGCAAGACAGCCAGTAGTGATCTGGGCTGATAGGCAGCTGGTAGAGCTCAATCAACAAGTAAAATGGAGTTGTCTAATTTTCTGTGAATCAAGGTCAGATTCTTTGGTTATTGTAATTTAGGAAATACAGCTTTCTGAAAAAATGGGGAAGATATTTTCAGATGTGTGCATTTGAAGTATTATACAATAGACTACAATTAGTAATATATAAATTATAATAAGTAAAGGAAAATATACACTTCTGTGCTGACTGGTCTAAGATAGTTGGCTTAGATGTTATTAAACAACAGCTGTAGAAGCTTTGACCAACTTACTGATGCATAAAATAAAGTTTTCAAGACATGCTTAAAGGGTTTACAGAGAGCACATGCCTGTAAATTTCTGGACTGTAATTAAGAAGCTAAACTATGGAATAAAAATTGTACGCCTGTCCTATTTTATATTTGGATGTATTATGTTACAGAATACAAAGTAAAAGATCTCTGAAGAGCAGTTTCAAAAAGATTACCATGATGTGAATGAATAAATACCTCTCAGAAGCTACAGCATTAATTTTTCAGTTTGTGGTACATCTACTGCTGCTAAAATAACCTGCTGTGGGTGGGTGAAGAACCAGACAAGCCCAACCAGCTGCAGGGCTGCCCAGGGCCATATGGCTGCTCATCTTCCCACAGCCCCCAGCCACGCCACCCGTGTAATATCAACAGAAAGAGAAGCCAAAGTCCTCTTCTTTAACAAAGAGCACGGTTAGCTCTGGTAACACCTTAAATCATATCTTGAATGGCCACTTAAATAAGAGGCAAATACAGAACTGAGGACAAAACAGATGTACTGGTGTAATAGTCCTCGAGTGACAACTAAGGAAGCATTAAAAAAGTTTGTGAGGACTTAATTCCAGTAAAAAGTCATGTAAGTCAAGATTTATTTGTTCCACTTCCATGCCAAATTAAAAAAAAAAGGCAACAACA